TAACAGAAATGCTAACCTATAAAATAAAAAATAAAAGTTTTGCTTAGAGTTACAGTTTTTCTAATTATGTAAACAGGTTAGGTTTTTTTCTACTCATCACTATAAGAGCAATATTGCTCTTTTACATTTTGTAACCCAGAATAAGTTGGATGTGATACATAATTCTAATTATATTCTCGAATGTTGAAATCTTAATTCCAGGTCAAAAACAAAGTTGTACTTTTTCAGAAGCTCCAGCTAGGGGACTTTTATTAACATGGGGGACCATTTTATATACTGTAGGTATTTCTCCTACAAACTGCAAGCCTAGTTCCAGATACTCCCCATGAGTGGAACACTCTGTTTCTAAATGACTCTTAACAGTCTAGTGATGAATCAGTTGCTGTCTGAACACTACATTACTTTCAAATTTTTAAAAGCAAATAATGCAAAACAGAACCACAGGAGATAGTTTTTAAGAATTAAAATATAGAAATTAAAAAGAAATATAGAACTAAATTTTCAAAATAATATCCTGTTAAATATCAGCACTTTTTTTTTTATCATGTGCTTGGTGTGACAACATGAATATAAAAATGTGGGTACCAGTACACAATACTAGTTTTATAATTATTAATAAATTAATTTATCCTTCATAAAAGAACATATAAATTGTTAACAACAATGTAATCAAACAATGTTATTGCATCCCCTCTATCTCTATCTTTCCTGTATGGTATCAAGCACTTCAAATTTATACAAGAATGTTAAGATCTTTTGCATACGCAGTGGGATAAAAAGGATGATTCTCTCTGCATTATGTGGACTATATTGACCACATGCTGAGGAGATTAGCAGGGTATAACACCAAAAAATCTTGCCATGTTTAAAAACACACAAATAGGCAATGTCTGTCTAGGAGATGTATGGCTCAATCTATATATGTAGATCAATGGTGCCTCAAGGAATATCTGGGATGTCCACTAAATCATCAAAATCTGCGTCTTAGCTGCTTACTTCAATATTCCACAATACTGTGCATTATCTTGAAAAAAATCACCATAGTCAAAAATTGTCATCTTGGCCAGGTAGGAGACAAAGGGGAAGGGGCAGCAGGGTATGGCCCACCCTGGTTGTTCCCTGGTGTTCAGGTATAAGTTAAATTAGTGAATATGTACTATTGGATTTGTTTATTCTGAATTGCAAACAATCTATTAATAGGTCCTGGATGTGCTTGCCAGATTCCTTGGAGCTTCTGTATTTTTTTAAAACCCATCTTCCTGTTGGCACTGGTAGTCAATGTTAAGCCTACCCACAAGGAAAATCTGTCTTTGCATTTTTCCTAAATTTAAGCAGAAAACAAAATTGATGCTCATTAGATTACTCTGGTTTCTGGATGGAAGGCCTCAGTCAGCAGTTGTTTACCATGTTATAAGATCACTTACCAGATTTGCCACAGCTGTCAAGAATTCTGACATATGATCACTGTGGCTGGTCTGTCTGATTCGTAAATCCTTGCCTGTTTTCTTCTTAGGAGCTGGCACAATAGAGTGGTCACAAGGATGGCCATCGGGGATGAAGTTCGATTTTTGTTTTACCTTTTTTTAATGCTTTTTTTTTTGCTATTTTTGTGTTAAGGGTTTTCATTAAAAAATAAAACTGAATCATCTTAACTTAGAACCATAATTAAAAACTGCAGCCCCGTTGTATCTATATGAAGCTTGATCCTTGTCAAATTTCAGTACTCCTTGTACAGAACAAACAGCAAGCACTCTGAACATCACAACAAAGGAAAGAGAAATGTTGCTTTATTGTGTATAGAATGTAATATGAAGCTTTGGTCCTTTGACCTTATGGGCCAAGAAGCAGCTATTTGTGCTGTACCTATTCATTTATAACTTTGTTAAGATTTATGACCAAAGCTGCGCTCGCACATGGCACACCCAAGTGGGGACCTCACTTTCGTGTGCCATGGGGGACATTTGTACTGAGGGAAGATCTATAATGTAAGGTTTTCATCAGCCAGCATCTAACCAGTCCCCAACATGCTGACTGGACAATGAAGGAGACATTAAGTAATTACCAAACTATTGATCCTGCATTCTATGCTTTTTATCAAACACCCAGTGCTAATTATTTTTTATTGAACCACTTGCTCTCCTGAGGATTTTATCCCCCTTCCTGACCAGGCCATTTTTTGCGTTACAGTGCTGCATTATTTTAACTGACAATTACGTGGTCATGCAATGCTGCACCCAAATGAATGTATATTTTTTTTCCCATGAATTGAGCTTTCTTTCGGTGGTATTTGAACGCCTGTACATTTTTTATTTTTTGCGCTATGAGCAAAAAAATACCGACAATTTTCCACATGTCCATTTTAAACATGTCCAGTAAAAAAAAAAAAAAAAAATTAAATTTCATCATAAATTTAGGCAAAAATGTATTCTGCTACATGTCTTTGCTAAAAAAAAAATCCCAATGCATGTAAATAAATGGTTTACATGAAAGTTATTGTGTTTACAAATGGCGGTATAGATAATGGGATTTTTTTTTCTTCTAGTAATGGTGGTGATCAGCGACTTTTAGTGGGACATCTCCAGTGACACCAAGACAGCGATCAGTGCTAAAAAAAAGCACTGACACTGTACTAATGGCACTGGGCAGGAAGGGGTTAATGTGAGGGGTGACCAAAGGGTTAACTGTGTGCTGGGAGTGTTTTATTAGGGGGGTGGGGGGTGTGCTCTTTACTGTAAGTGTACTGATCAGGATGGCTGTGCTGTGCACAGCCATCCTGAGCAGTGTACTGGAGCTGACAGGGAGGAAGATTGTTTGTTTGAACAAAACAATCTTCCTCCCCATTGGAGTTGCTCGGTAATCACCGGGTGCCGGCGGGTAATTACCGGCTGGGACCCGACGATTGACATCCACAGCCATGAATGTCGGCTCGGGTAGGGCACATGCACGGATCGCGCACGCCCCCTACCTGGAGATGCAAAATCATGTATATGTGATTTTGCGCACAGGTGCTGCCCTGTCACAGCATATCTGCTGTAGGGCGGTCCTTAAGTGGTTAAACAAACAGCATTAAGCTTGCCATAGATGGATCAAAATTCAACTGGTTCAGCAGGGACTGACCACATTTTGATCCATGTAGCTGCTTATACTTTACAGATGTTGATCCAATGTTCAAATTCTGTCAAATGGGCTTGTTGGAAAATTTCTCTCGATCAATGCCTGCAGCCTATGGGCTGCAGCTGCTGATCAGTGTAGTCTTACAGTCGAGAATCCCCACTGTCAGAACTCAAAATCTTGACTGGGGGGATTCCCTTTTCCACCTTGGTTTGGTAGATGTAGTAATCTACTAATAGATTTTCTTTCCTTCCACCAAGGATGGGGAGCTCCCCCAGGCCTGCAGAATACAAAGATCACTGCTAGCAGCTGTAGCCATGGGCAGTAATCACATACAAAAAATTTAAAATGCTGTTTGTACTCAAATTGATCAATGGATCGAATAGGGAACAATCAGCCTGCCAATAAATGGATAAAATCTCGTCCGGTCCCCGCTAAACTGGCAGAGATTCGATTCATCTGTGACCGGCTTTAGTTAGTTTTTTAAAGTGTTTTTATCTGCCTGATCATCTTGGGGATGAAGCAAATAGACTGTTTACTACGTAAAAGGGAAGTCACATTTTGCAAGGGTATTTCCCAAGAGCTTAGTGAATGGGGTAAAGCTCTAATGACTTCCATTATCCAACCATGTACAAGCATCCAACCATGTTTTTATCTGCCTGATCATCTTGGGGATGAAGCAAATAGACTGTTTACTACGTAAAAGGGAAGTCACATTTTGCAAGGGTATTTCCCAAGAGCTTAGTGAATGGGGTAAAGCTCTAATGACTTCCATTATCCAACCATGTACAAGCAAAAAAAAAATGTTTTTTATTTTTCCTTGCACATGTTTTGGTATTCATTGCAAAGTGAAGTTTCACTACATTCACTAAGCTCTGGGGAAAATTCCTTTGCAAAATGCGACGTGCCTTGCAAAGTGAACAGCCTATTTTCCTTTAGTAAATAAACCACTAAAAGTTACTAAAACATTGTTGGTATATGTCAAATATGCAGTATATGCAACATGGCATAACAATATTTTAGAACTAAAAGTCTTTTGCAAGCAAACACTACCTTCAGGGACGGGACAAATACTGTTAGCCGGTTTCAGGAAATGTTTGGAGGCTTCCAAGTCAAAATTACTAAGTACTGATGGCAAGAGTGTCTAAACTTTGCAGATGCAACATAATGTCTTATTAAAGTTTGCTTTCTCCAGGGGTTCATGTAAACTTTGATGAAAGCAAAAGGTTTTGAGATTGAGTCATAACATTTATTAGTTAATTCAACCTTTTAAAGATGCAAGCTCTTAAAATGTTAGGTGTTCTCATCCGGCAGTATAAAATGATACTAAAAGACCCGCATAATCTCCCTTCCCAGCACAAACACGTGATAAACAACACCTGGAACTGATGTGTTGGGGGAGTTATATATCTCACTAACAAAACGCAGTCAGTATTAAAACATAGACATACCAAAATCCAATTGTTGATGCTTGTAAGTGTTTTCATAAATATTTAATACCCATTGAGTTTAAAATTGCAAGGCCATACTGACTGTTACTAAAACAGGTATGGTATAATCACAATGATTTCATGCTATCATTTAACTAAATGAATGATAGGATCCAGATTCAAAATGCGGCCAGAAACAAAGGCAGACACTGTGGGAATGATGTCTGTAAATAATTGGTCATGCGAATGTGCAAGTTCCTCATCCCAAATCATTAGTAGGGTATGTTTTCTGAAAAAAAAAACAAGATATTGTAAATATTCATAAACAAGCACAACATTACAAATCTTAATTTAGTCGTATAATAGAAAGTATAATCAACAACTGGACAAAATATTTTTTAAACCTAGGTATTTTTGCTGTCCAAAAGATTGTAAAAAACGTTAAAGTGTTAATAAACCCATAACCCTGCATCCACTATATCTGGTCTTCCACAGTACATGGAAAATGAAAATTATTTTAGTAAATATAAACTGCTAAATACCTTTTCTTATCAGCAGTTAGAGCAGTCTTGTGACTGCTATCAGTGTCCGGCTGAGCACTAGTTTATCTTGTCGGAGGAGGTTTCTTTCTCCTCTGACTGTCCTATGAGGCTGCATGACCCCTGACGCTCTGTGCTGATTGGCCCTGTGCCGATCACATGCACCCTCCCAAAAAAGAAAACAACTCTCTAGCAATACACACCAAACAGAGCATGTTCAGACTTGCCACTGCTGCTCTGTACTATGGCAGATGGATTGGGGACATTTAAAGAAGGGGAGGATCAGAGAAGACAGGATCAAACAGCCTTTTTACACAATGTAGATGATTAACCCCTTAGGTTTCACAGTGAGTATAACAAGCATGCTTTACTGCATATACAAATTGATTTTACTGTTGTGGGTTAAGAAACACTTTAGTGTTAATTCAAGCAAAAAATATTTTTGGATAGTTTTGGACAGAGTAGAAAAAGGTTTAGAACTCCTGTCAGGTTTTCAATATAACATAACATATATATAACAATATATATATATATATATATAACATAACAATATAACATATAATATAATATGTCCGTATAAGAGATTTTTCTTCACTTCCTGTCCTACGGACAATGTTTTTTCGCAAGATGGTCAATAGTGATTAAAAAACAGGGACATAGACAAAAATATCTGATAGGGATTCTGTCTTCTACTCTACTACCATTTTTTTTCATTTCTGTCAACATTGCAGACCTCTCTTCCTTTTCTGCCTAATAAAATGTTATCAGCAGAACAGGAAAAGAGAATAAATCTCTTTTGTGAAGCTTTGGATAGCAGTAACAACGTGACCAGGGATATGATCCTTCTGCATGCTATCCAAAACTAGGAAAACATTTTGTTGTACACACACTATAATTTTGCAGGACCACTTTCCATTTGATTAGTTGTAGAACTTATTTACTATTTTATTTATTACAGGTACTTATATAACGCCGTCAATTTACGCAGCGCTTTACATATATATTTTACATTCACATCAGTCCCTGCCCTCAAGGGGCGTACAGTCTAAGGCCCCTAACTCACTTGCATGCATACACATAATACTTGCAGTAAACTTTATACCTGCTGTAGATAATAGAGCATCACCTACGTATGACATGATGGTATGTATAATTTAGGTAAGATAGGCTATTTTAATGAATGCAGAAAATAAAGAGGGACGAATAGAAGGAATGCAGTTATTATGAAACCATATCTTCTGTTTTATAGTTTAATATTATTAGGCTATCAGTTGTTTAATTTCATCTTACTCAGGGCTGTACTTAGTGTATTCCAAGCTTTATACCCTTTTGACTATTAAATATATTTTCCTTAACTCTAGAAAATAGAAGTACTTGAGTCTGAAATATGCTTTTTTTTCCTTTTTTGTGTGTTTATCCTAAGTATGCTTAAAAGTAATACAGCCAAAAATTTGAAACTCCATTATTTTGTATTACTTCATATAAATCCCTTACATAATGATTTTTTTAAATTTCCTATTCTGTTGCCTAATTATTTAAAAAAAATTACTAAATGTTTATATTTTATCATCAGACTGAGAATATTTCATTTCCAAATAACTTTATACGGCTCATGTTGTAGAAAAAAAAAATATCTCTCTCCTTAGTTTATCCCATAATATATCCTTTTCTAAACATATTCTGAATACATATAAACTGTTGTTTCCTAATGTTTTCAAACTTTTGTAGTTAAGGCAATAAATCTTATTATTTAATGTAAATCCATGACACTATAATAATGAAAAATGAGCAGGGTTTAATCACTTAGAAAAAAATTGTTGTTACAGCGATATACAGTTATTCATATTCTCAACCGCATATTTTTCTTCTCCTTTCAGCTGCCCGATGTAATTCTTTTCATGGAAGAGAATGTGTTCCTCATTTTAGTTTATTTACAAGTATATGTGTACCCTCATGACAGGGCAGCGCTGTTCTTTATCAAACTCCCATGCTTCACTTAGCCACATTTGGGCAGCTTAGGTTCCCCGGTGTCTGGAGTCTGATTTAACTTTGTTTTCGTATGTTTGTGTTTATAATCGCCCCATACACACACATATACTATGCAAATATACTGCATATATTCATGATGTGAGGGTATTTTTATGAAGAGCAGGACAATCCCGGAACATTAATGGAGCTGTATCATTCATTCACCATGGTATACTATGACGAGACATGGATTTACAATGTAAAAATTTAAAATCAAGATGTACAGCAAATATATGTTAAGGTGACCTGATCCAGCAAACACAATGGTTGCATCTGTTACATTCAGGGCCGTAGATGTTTTTTTTTTTTCTTGGGAGTTTTTTGGCCTTGGGCTCCCAGAGGAGAGTAATTGGGGTAAATTTTGGGTGTGTCAAAATTGCACTAAAAGTAGGAGAGGCTTAAAACTTGAGCATACACACTATTTATATGGTAAGATATAAACATGTTACGATATGCGTACTTTTGCATTTGGGCCAGAATGATTTAGTGTTCCTCTGGATTCTACATAATCCTTTATAACTCCTATCATTAGGGCGATTGGAACCTATATGATTCTGAAACTCACTATCATGCCATCTAACATAGTCAATGCACATGATGATGACATACTGTCATTTATCTAGTACTTTACATCACTATTCTTTGGGTTATGAATATTTTATATTTATGGAGCATGTCCATGATGAATGGTAATTTAGATTAGCCGTTGGATATCGCAATACGGATTGCTAAATTTTTATATTTGTGATGTGTATTTCACCTTGCAAGGTTTCACCTTTCTTATGTGAGATTTACAATAAAGTAATTTTTGTACCAGGAACTTTAGATTGGGTTTAATCTAAATCGTTATTTTACGGCCTTTCTTTAGGGCTGTTCATTTTTTGTATGCTATAGGTTTTTTTGGGGATAAACCCACATATTTGTTTGTTGATGAGTCAGAGAGCAATTATATAGGGTGATCTACCTATTTACCGTGGCATTTTCTTATTTTTTGCATATATGGTAACATATGCCTCAGTCATTGTACCTACAAAATATGCTTTAATTACTGTGCCACAAGTGAAAGTCTAACAGAACTCAATACAATCATTTGTAACAATTGAGACTCTTCCATTACATATGCTTTTCTGCAATCAGCTTACCTTCAATAACTTCAGTAATAAATTCAGTGACTACTTGCAACCAGCAACTGTTGTACAAAATAGCATTAAGAGTACAGGAGTCAGGATTATGCTGTATACAGCCTGACGTACAGAGTGCATTGTTCTGGGGTCTGAAATACCCAGCAGAGTGTATATAGAACCAGGCTTAGGCATGCAATATCACACAATGTGCAAGAGTCAGGGGTGCATAATGAACAAAGTGCAGGGATCAGGAGTACATAACACACCAGAGTGCAGGGGTCTAGAGTATATAATGCACAGAACACAGAGATTAGGAGCAAGTTATGTACAGAGTGCAGGGGTCAGGAGTATTTAATGAAAAGAGCACAGGATTCAGGAGTGCATTCTGTACAGAGTGGAGGGGCAGGGTATGTGATACACAGAGTGCAGGGGTATGTAATGGACAGAGTGTAGGGGTTATGAGTATGTAATATAAATAATGCAGGGGTCAGGAAAGCATAATGCAAAGGTCATTGGAAAGAGTACAACAAAGAAATTATCTCTCTTCAAGCCAGAACAGATCCACACCCCTGTAAATCTCTCTCATATAGCACAGCCCTTCCCACACTACAGCTCCCCCTAAATAGTGTTCCCCCAGTACAAATAACCTTCAGTACAGCTCTTCCCGGTACAGAACTCCCCTAAGTACAACTCTTTCCACCTCTATGAAACCCACTTGCCAGACCAGGCAGTTGAAAGTGAGAGGATGTCTTCGCTCAGCTTGGTCCTGTGACCAGAGCAGAGGAGGTGCTAAGGAGACCCTCCATTGCTCTGAACTGCCACTGCCTGCATCTAAGGTCTGTCAACTTGCAGGAGCAGCAGCTGCAGTGCAAGAGTGCAAATGGAATAGGCACTGCAACACCAACCAAAAAAGAGATGTGGAGCACGTGCTTTGGATGCTCAGTGACTGTCCCCTTTATCTCCCCCCTTATCTACACATCTTTGTTGCATTGGCTTCATGCACAGGAAAAGTCTTCATCTGTGAACCCTTTGTGTTTGTTCTTATGCTTCATACTCCATAGGGGAGTAATGGGATAACCCTCAGGTATACTAGCTTTTAATTCATTTAAAGTGTAAGGGCACAACAAAAGTATAGGCACGTTTCCCCATGTTTTGCCTCTTTAAAAGTGTAGAAAAATACCTACTGATTCTGTCATAAAACAAATGAGCTTGTAACTTCTTGCTCTGCCTGTCTGTGCTGTACTGTAATCAAGTAGTTATATCAGCCCCGCTGTTTTCTTCTGTGGACTACAGAGTAACTCTCCCTATGTTTTGGTGAAGAGGAGAAGGAGAGGTGTTCTTTAGTTCTAAAACACTAAAAACACCAGTTCTTGGGTGAAAATGCTGCTCTACCATAGACACAGTCCAGTGAGTGAGCATTGTCACCCTAGGACAGAAATTTGTGTGTTACTGATAGGACCACCAGGTTAAAAAAAGACTAAAAAAGGGAAACAAATTCTGCCACTTCATCTAAAAATGGGTAAGTTGTAATATATTAATATATAACATTTTTTGTTTTTAAATATACTGTAATGTTGTTTAGGTTACCATGCAGCTTCCATAAATATGCAAAAAACAGGCATGTTTTGAAAATAGATACAGGGCTAGATAGGCACTCTTTTTGGGCATGTGCTGGGACACTGTGCATGCGTGTTCAAATGTGTTCAGACCAAACAGACCAAACAAAGTTCCATGAAAAAATCCAGTACTTGGGGTTACAGACCAGGAAGAGGGACACCATACTAAAAACCCCTGTCCCAACTTCCCA